TCAAAATGTTTGATAGAAGCCTGGGATGAGTTTGAATTCCATAGCTAGGGAACACTTTCATGTATTCTCCACATAATGCACCAAGAGAAAGGAGAGGAGTTCTGTTGCTGTAGGAAATACAAACATTTCTCCTCTGTGGATCAGTCAACACTTGGTTTGCCCACAGCTAGGTTCCTTCACACAGGGCTCAAGATTACGTTAAGTTGGTGGTGCTTGGAATCTGTTGCTGAGCAAATACCTGTGTGACAAACCTCAGATAGAAGCAGTCTCTCTCTTCCAAGCCTTCTTACTAGTTACTGTGCATGCACAGTTTCCAGGGGACATGAATGGGTTCAGCTTTCTGGTCCTGGAATTATAAGGCAAAGAAGGATCCAGAGATCAGATTTGAGTCAGTGTTATGCAAGGCTCAGAATGGAGTGAAATCTTAAACAATAGGGAATTCTTTACTGATAACAGCACTAAATTTCTTTACTCTGAAAGCCAACATAACATCCTGAAAATGCCTCTTGCTTGGCTCATGTGAACCTTTTAAATTTGGAATCACTGACCTAAAAAAAAACAAAAACAAAAAAAACAAACAAACAAATAGATCAAGAACATCTGAAGATTTTTAGAAGTTCACATCTGCATACTTGCTTTGGGCTATTGACTCCGTACACTTGAAGCAAGAGGATTAGCATGACAGCCAAGCAACTAACATTGATAGTGAAGTGAGAAGTCAGCATGGCATCCTCCTTGTTTGACTCGTGCAGGTTTACTTTAAGAGATAGGCATTCCATAAAACATCCAAAGCTTGAATTACCGGGCCTAAAAAAAAGCAGTTCAGAGAAAAACCCAACTGGTCTAGTTTTCAGGAACAATATAAGGATACAATGAAGAAGGGAGCGTTTAGTTGTGTGCCAAGACCAGGCTTCTGTCAAACACCGATAATAAACAAGGCCATTTTCTAACAGATGGTAATGTTTGAAGCACTGTTCCATGTTAAAGTAAGAGTCTGTCTCGGTATAATCATTTATGTCCCTTTAGAAGGGGAAAGTGATGGAGAGTTGGACAAGGAAGATCTGAAGGTAATAGTATATAGAGGTGGCAGAGGTAGAGCAAAGGCATGAGGTAGAAAAGAAAGAAAAAAGTAAAAAAAAAAAAAAAGGTTTATGGTTTAAAAAGGGAAGAGATTTAGGGTGAATCAATCACATACACCAAGTATGCTGCTGTTTTGTAAGGTAGAGCAATAATTAGGCTCACCAGGAAATGTTACAACACTACAGCAAGCCTAGATTTATAAATTTAGTTAAAAAGGTGCCAATTTATCCTAGAGATATTGCAGCAACGTCTACCACACTGATAAATGCTTGAAACACTCACTCTTCTACTCTACAATGTCCTTCCAGACTAATTCCATCCAAAACGGATTTTACATGCGGGAGGACATTGGCAAGCTTCATGCATGCCTTGCATACCTAGTATGAAATTTGTTGGCATCTGAAAATGGGAAAGATGTTATTGGGAAGGCTCCAGTGGTGACACTTTGCATTACTCAATCCAGTATGGCTATGAAGACATCATAGTATGTGCTGAAACTGGACTAATAATCGTTCTTTTTTTCCACCACACCATGCAACACCAGCACATGTGTTAGCAATGGACCCAGCATTCAGACTTGGCAATTCATTTGGAGATATCTGGGCACTGGAGTCCGAGAGACAAAAGTAGTCAACATTTGCTTTAGCATTTACCGGTCATTGATTTTTAGCCTCCAAATAATATTAGAACAGTCTTAATACTATATTCTAAAACCGCACTGTCAGCTTCCATACAACTAATGGATGGTAGGATAGCAGGGGGATGGGTGTCTAGAGCTATCAGAATTCAGAAAAAGCCAGAGCCCTAGTTCATTAGATCCCCAACCACAGACTGAGTTACTAAGTTACCCCAGCAAACATAAAACACAACTGACAATATGGTGTCAATTTTCAGTGCTGAGATTTGGCAAGTAAAATCCATGACAGGTATAACTTTCCCAAAACCGTCAGTCAAGGGTGGAGTTTCCCTTTAAAACATTACTAAAATTATTTTAAATCTGACATTTTAAACACACAAGGCAGTAAACAGGCTACTTGATTAATAGTACCCATTTTGTTATACACAGGCTTTTGAAGTATGAACTCGCGGCAGACATTTTCAGTTCATGCTTCTTAATTGCTATAAGATCAATTTACAGCTGACTACAGGTGGATTGTGCTGCACATCTCCCCCCACCTACATTACAAGCATACCTTGAGTATTTCCTAAGATGAACAGTTTATACTGGAGCCCTTACTATCGATATAGCACACCATATGACTGCTAGGGGTCCAGCACATCCTGGCTGTAGAATGGTGAATTAAAGAGAATCTGTTCTTTTATCTTTTAAAAGCAAAGTGACAGGTTCTCCAGTAAGAAACCCCTTCACCCCACCTATGCTCCCCTTCCCAGCTGCTCTGATGCTACATCCTCCAGGAATAGGGGGAATAGGGCCTCCTTCCACGAAACAATGCTCAGGTTTGAACAGCCAATGGCCCCTAACGAGAAGTTAACCTTGTGTAAGCTCTGACAGAGCTTACATGTTAGGATTCCTTACTCAGATAGAGGAACGGAGTGGCTTAAAAGTCAAGTGTTACTGGTTGAACTGGTTGACTTTCCCCAAGATCTGTACTCTGCTTGAGGTCAGTGGTTAATCAGAGGCTCCACTGCAAAGTCCATGGGTGCAAATCTAGCTTGTTGCACTCCAGTGAATCAGTCAGGAAAGAAAATAAATCTCTGAACCTTTGGTTGCAGCAACTCTTCTCATCTTTTAAACAGTGGCAGTGGTCACCACTGACATGTTTCAGGGCTCATTCACTCTTGTGCATTATGGCAAGATGCAATCCATGGCAATGCATGTGCAGTGCATTTTGGTGCCATTCATTGTGAATGGTACACTAACACATCGTAAATTAAAATGCACCACAACACATAAAAAAAAAAAGTCACGTACATTTTTCCTTCTATCATGGTGCATAATGAATTGGCTACCTTAAAGAATATGTAAACCCAACATTTCATGTTCCTGATATGTGCCTGCTGTACCATGTACTTGTATGAAAAAGTATCCTGTTCTCTTTGTATTGCTTTCCTTGTGTAAAATACCTGGTGTTCCTGTTGGTCCCTCTGCTTTCCTATTAAAAACGGACTACACTAAGCGTGAGAGCAAAATGCCGTCAGTTTGGTGGCTGCGCTGGGAACTCAGGGTGCTCTCCTCCAATAATTAGACTTCTGCTCACATGCCCCCTCATCCCTGCATAGCCAGTCACTGGGAAGTTCATTATACGGTTTCTCCTCTCCCAGCTCTCGGATCGCAGCTGCATAAGGAACTTAGAAAATCACTTAGAAAACGGGGAGGGGGAGAAATTTATAATGTTTATACACAAGTTTTGCCTTTCATTTCTCTGTTAAAGACTGAATGGGTGGTTATTTTACAAGGTGAGGATTTACATATGCTTAAAAGAAACCACATTAACACATGTGCATAATGCACCACAATGGAAATGGGCCCTACATGTTTTGTCAAAGAACACTTTAGTGTGAAAAGTCAGAGCCCTGCTGCTGAACACAAAATTGCTACAATTCAGAGTGTGTGCAGATTCTTGTTCGTTCCTGGATTATCCCGAGTTGAGGGTGGGCAGGGGTTCTTAAAAACACTGTCTTTAAATGGACAAAGTAGCAGACTTTCATTATAGTTCAATAACTGAGCAAGCTTCCATAAAGCACTCGTCACTAATGTAGGTTTGTTTTCATTGAAAAAGGTGTGTGTTTTTGCTGTGTCCTACCCTTCAATATCAAAATTTTAGAAAAGTGGTGAAGATGTAGAGGAGACTATGGGGGAGATTTACTGAAACTGGTGCACTGAGATTTACTGAAACATCAGCTTGTTCATTTAAGCTCTGAAAATAAAACCTGGAAGCAGATTGGTTTCTATGCAGAGCTGTACCAGAGATTGCACCATGCAGTTTTAGTAAATGTGTGTTCGGGAGTGAAGGGAATGGAGAGACAGACAAAAGGATAGAATAGCACCAGAAAGATTTGCAGTCAAGCATCATTATTTGTTCCCCTTAAATTGAACATATGGTTAGCATAATAGTCTGTACCACTGTGCTACAGAAACCATGGAAAGATATGAAAGGTGATGAGAATCAAACAGGTAAGACAACAAAATATTGCATCTTCTAGTATATGGTATGTTTGTGCACCATCTAGTGGCTATATTGTACAGCAACATTCAATAAACTGATTATGTCAAACTTCCTAACTAAAACTTCCATTCTGGGTAAGTCACAGCTCCATATGTCCTCAAGTGATAGGACAACTAAGTGGCAACGTGTCTGCTGTGATGTTACTTAGAAGTTATTCATTTTTTTTGTAAATTCAGGTTGTATACAGCGCTTGATAACTGGATGCAGTTTTCTCAACCAAGCAAAAAACATCTGCATTGGTTCAACTATATTAAGAGAAAATAAAAAACAAAAACAAAAACAAAAAAAAAACAGAAAAAAAAAAAAAAAACACTCCAGAAAACTACTCAAGTCCACTGGCAGCCAAAGACATTCAGAAAGGTCCTAGAGATATGTACATACGAACTGTAAGAAGCTGGCCAATCAAATAAGAATCAAGGAAAAAAGAGAGGGTGTTTCTTGTAAGAGCCAAACCAGTTCTGTAAAAAAAAAAAAAAAAAAAAAAGGAAAAAACATCTTCAAATCACTTGGCTTCTATGGCAAATGCCTCTATTTTTGTATACCACCATTGTTCTAGAAAACCTACGTGCTACAAATGTGTTAGTGTATGTGTGTATGACACAGTAAATCCTGTAGGCTGAAAACGGACACTGTAGAAAGATAAATGGGAGGATATGAAAGGGGTAGGCTGCCTCTAAGCCAGCCACCTTGTGCCAGTGTTGGTGGTCAGGCATGGGAGGGCAGGGCTAGAAGTCAAATCTCCAGCTTGCGATTGATCAGTATGGAGCAGGCGGTTAGGCAGCCTCCTAATTTAGACACCTCTGTGCAGGATGCTGGGACCAAGGTATAGTCAGTCATTTTCTGGAAGACCTGCAGAGAAAGAAAAAAAAAAAAAATTAAAATAAAAAATCATAGTATCACGGTTTCTATCATTCATTTGAATTAAAGTTCTGTATAAGAAAAACCTGCTACTCCTGACCCCTCTTTCTTATCTGGAAATGTCAATTGCCTTTAAAACACTAACCCTCTCACTGAACCAGAAGAAGAATGCAGATAAAGACCCATGACATTTGTTCCAGCTTTCCTTCTCTTACCGGTTCCTCTTATGCACTTTTGTGCCTACAGCCTCAAAGCTGTATACATTTACACTATGAGATCTAAAGCACTGCTGTATCTGAGTGCTAGGCTCAGGAGACTTTCTAATGCCACAAACATGCTGCTCAAATGTTCTCTTTGCTGGAGTTTGGAGTGAGGAATCCTGCCTCTACCAAAATGACTGTCTTCAAAAACAAGGCATTGTAGGTCAGTAATGTTGAAAGAATAACTGCATGGAGACAACTAGAGATTTGCCCTGCACATGCCTTCTTTTATAAGAAAGAAAAAAAAAAAAAAGAAAGAAGAAGGGGAGGTCAGCAATGGCTACTCATCTCTGGGGTATTAATAAATGCAAACACCACTTGAAGAAAGGTGTTAACACAAAAAAAAAATAGATGGTCCCTTTTGCATTTGTGCATTACCACAGCACAACAGTGTGATTAAATATTGTCCCCTACTTGCAATCAATGCCATTAATTCTTGCAATAAAGTAGTTTCATAAATGTCTGCCTATACAAATCAGATTTTGGTCAGCTTTAGAAACCATCTTCTCAGAATATTTTGCCTGAAACATATCTGTGCATATTTAGCATCAGTAACTATTTTATAAATCAGTAAATGTGTCTCACCTGGACACTGTTGGGATATTCCTCTGCACTACGGTGCACCAATACATTGGATTTAGGTCCCACACGGGCGTAGATACAGTTGGCAGCGGGGTCATCAGGCACAGTTAGTGTATCATAATGATGATCAGTAAGTTGCTCCATCATCTGAAACACATTTTATAAAATGTTTTTTATATTTATTTTTAATAGTAAAAGAATGGGTATATTTTTTTTAAATCTTGACAAAAGATTAAAATCATCAATAGTATGAAGATCACACATGAGGACTATATGGATAACAGTCCCGTTAGAGCTTTTTTTTTTATATATTTGATAAAAAGTCTTTATAATTTTCAAACTAAGTTTATTCTTATTGGTTGACAGCAGACTTGTGTTGATGGAGAAATATACACAGCACTCCTAAGCAATGTGTCCTATGAAGTATGCATACCAGTAGTGCACACCGTATGTCAGAGAGAAAAAAAAAAAAAAAAAAAAAACACACACATACATGTGTGTAGCATGCTGCTAAATTACATCAATAATAAGCTGCTTTTTTGAAAAATCAAGTTTTATCATTCATGGATGAAATGGAGAAGTTTCAATAGGCTTTAATAATTGGAGTTTAAAAATAAATAGAATATATAAGGGATAGGCAATTCCTTAAAGGCCAGGTTCACTTTATTTTTCCTACATTCCAGCTTCCCCATGTACCAATACACCATAAATGAAAAGAAAAAGCTTCCCATTTTTGCTAGACCAGACCTCATCTCAGCATTCAGTCTGATCTATGGAAAAAGTCTGCATTACTGCCTGGATGGCCCTTAGGTTCTCAAAACCAGTAAGACAAGAAGCTGTTCACCAGCTGACCGCATTAACACACCCTGCACCTGCCTTCTCCCTTCAGAAGATTGCCACCCCCCCCCCCCCCCCCCCCCCTGCAGGTTCATGCGTTTCCGATGTAATCGGTGATCACTGTTCTCACTAAATACTGAGCCATCAATTTTTTTTTTCCCACTTTACCTTCGTCTTGCATAGATCATTCATTTGGCAGAGTGAGTAGGAACTGAGCTACTTGATAACTGCCTATGTGGATAGAGCTGTAGTATTGGAAACAGGAAAGTGTATCCTCAAAAGTATGTTAAAAAAAAAAAAAAAAAAAAAAAAAAAAAAAAAAAATCATACACTATACAATTTAATTGTATAAGCTCCTTTAAAAATGTACCATCTGCTATGTAGTGCAAGGGCCTGTATGATTTGATACAAAGTGATTGTAAAGATTGGGTGTCCTCCTATTATAGTTTTGGTAAATCTAAAAAGGAGATTGTACAGAGTTTGCATAGTGTATGGCCGCCTTGCAAAATGAACTAGTTGCATATTCGGCCATTAATTGTTACCACACCTGAAACGCAGAAGCAATACACATTTTCCATGTGAAAAAAAATCAAGTGACAAAAACATGACAACATGCACAGTAAAAAAAAAAAAAAAAAAAAAACAAAACAAAAAAAAAAAAAAAAAAACACCACCCACACGTGAAAACTGCACCACGCCAAAATGTCCCATGATTTACTCAGCCACATTTAGGGCAGCTCATTCAAAATCAATGGGCTGTGCTATGTGAGTCATGGGGAAAAAGAAAAAAAAAAAAAAAAAAAAATCCAAAAAAACAACATGTGCTCCCACTACATTAGGTGTGAATGGGGCCTGAAAGTGCAGTTGGTGTGAGGCTCCACTCACATCCCTGCATTTCCAAATGCACGTTTTGCAAACAACCATCCCACTTGCATTGCCATTAAATGTTAATGGCATCCCAAGCACAAGTAACAGATGTGCATAATGCAATGCAAATGCACCATGCTCAGGGCTGCTTTATGTGCGACAAGCAAAAACACACAAAGAATAAAAAAAAAAAAAAAAAAAAAATAAGGAGTGTATGTGCAGAAAAGAGAGATCCTGCTATGTGGCAATTTGAATGGGGCCTGAGAGCTGAATGTCCCCCTCCACTTCCTCCTAAGCACCTGTATAAAGATGGCTATACACTATGCATACTGTTTGTACAATTTCCTTTAGATTTATCAAAGCTATGGAATAGGACGACACAGATGAACAATCCATTCAATTTGTATTAAATCAAACCAGCCCTTGCACTACACAGCTGATGGTAAATCCAAAAGGTGATTGTACAGATTTACAGAAAGTGGATGAAAATAAACAAGAGGTGGTATAGTAATGAGGGATGTGTGGTCCACAGTGGTAAAGCTGGTATCACGCCATCTTCTGTGATGCAGCAAAGAGGTGCATGATGGGATTCAAAGCTTTCTGGATGTCACGGGAGCAAAAAGCATTTTTCAAAACACCAAAATAATCTTTCAAAGCTGCTATAGATGAGGTAAGTGAGAGAAGCACATTGGGATGGCTGGGGCATTAAAGAGGCTTCTATTTATTATGAAAAGAAAAATTCTGCCTGAAAATGTGAACTTAGCCTTTGAAAATTACCCACTGTCATGTTGCATAAACATCAGATCACTCACATACAGTAAAATGTCAAAAATATTCCACTTTGGACACATTTTGTTATATCAATTAGTGAATGTAATAAGGTCTTTTACACTACATAAAAATGGGAATTTTTCTGATCTTTTTTCTCCCAAGCTACAAGTCTTGCAAAAATTAAAAATTGACTGATTGAAAATGGACTTCGGCCCATTAAATTCTACAGGTGAGGTGCTTTCAGTCAGACCCTCATCAAGGATCTGCCAGAATGTTCTGGTTGTTATTGAAAGTTCTGATATAGATACTCATTTAGTAATGTGTGCACCTATGGCAGCACCATCCTTAACAACTAGTCCATCTTAACTTGGCAATCACGTAACAGATGTCACATCAAAAGAGCACCCTGGTCTCCTAAAATTAGCAAGCTGAAGGCTATAAACCTCTGAAACAGCCACCCCTCCTGGACCATGTTCAGTCGTTTTACCTTTAGGGCTTTCTTTGCACAGTCGCTGCTTCCAATAACCAGGGTATCTGGACCACCCATGCTACAGAAGCTTTTTAGATGTAAATCTCCAGAAACTCGGACAGTGGAAACTGCATAATCCTAGGGGGCGTGAAAAAAAATTAATTTAGAGAAAAGATCTATAGACCTTTACAATGTCATAGAAGGTTTGCTAACTGCACCGCTGTGCCCAAACTGTGCTTTAGAAGGCACAGGAGATGTTTTCCTGCATTTGTTTACAAACAGTTTATTGGAAAGTATAAAAATCTAAAAACACAAAGCATCATGACAGTGCAAATATGTAAAAGACATGATAATAAAAATACGAGCATTGAACAAAAAGAACCACCAAGAAGCACAATGAGAATACAAATATCATTACAGAAGGTAGTATCAGGGAATGGGCAAACCCTATTATTAGGTAGAGGAGCCACAGAACTTCACCATTAGCAATTAAAGATGTAAGGCAGAAGGGAGAAGATGTTTTCCTGCATTTGAAGCATTGCATCTGCGTAAAGCCGAGTGCACATGTGCTAGAAAAAAAAAAAAGCCAGTTTACAGGAAACCGGCCAACTTCCGGCACATGTGCAGAGATCTGTTCTATAGAAGCCGGTCTCACAACCAGCTTCTGCCGTCAAACGGGCATGCTGGAAAATCAGCATCCATTTGGCTTTTGCAGCCAATGGGAGTCCCCCTGTCAGAACACAAAAGCACAGCAGGGGAGATCAGCGTAACAACATCACTTGTGTTGGTACAGCAATCACTAAAAAAGTGATCCTGTGTACCTGGCTTAACACTCCAGCGCCCATACTTGCATACCAATACTTGCATCTGCAACATAGTTCAGCAAAAAAGGAGGTCCCCACCCTGCTATTTTTTGGTTTAGCTCTTAGCCTGCATTCACACCTGAACAGAGTATTCCTGGTGATTTTGAAGCCATCCCCCCCCTCCCCTACGAGTTTTACAAGCATTCTTTGCATGAATCTTAACCTCAACAGTTTGTTTTCTATGCTGGGCAAGGGGAGGAGAGGAATTCTATATGAGAGTTCTTCAGGTGTAAAAATGCACAAAAAAAAAAAACAGGAATACACTCAAAAAGCTCATTTGCACTCAGTTGCCCATTGCTGAAAGAAAATACAAAGTGTAACCAGGGACAAATCAGAAAGAATGGGATTCTGCATAGTAAAACAAGCTAAAAAAAAAAAAAATACTCAAATGTAAAATTGGTGCTAAAAAAAAAAAAAAAAAAAAAAAAAAAACTTACCTAAAGTCATAAAATTAAACTATATACAATATATTGCCAAATGAATTGGCACACCCCTCCAAATCATTGGATTCAGGTATTACAATCAGGTGTATAAAATCAAGCACCTAGGCATACGGCTTCTAGAAACATTTGTGAAAGAATGGGTCTCTCAGGGGCTCAAAGAATTCAAGCATGGTACGGTCATAGGTTGCCACCTGTGCAATATGTCCATCCGTGAAATTTCCTTCTTACTAAATATTCCACAGTCAACTGTTAGTGGTATTATAACAAAGTGAAAACAGCAGCAACAGGCCACATAAAATGACAGCAGGGTCAGCGCATGCTGAAACGCACAGTGCGCAGAAGTCGCCAACTATCTGCTCACTCAAAAGCTAGAGACCTCCAAACCTCATGTGGCCTTCAGAGATTAGCACAATAGTGCATAGAGCGCTTCATGGAATGGGTTTCCATGGCCAAGCAGCTGCATCCAAGCCTTACATCACCAAGTGCAATGCAAAAAGTGTCAGATGCAGTGGTGTAAAGCACGCCGCCACATGACTTTAGAGCAGTGGAGATGTGTTCTCAGGAGTGATGAATCACACTTCTCTGTCTGGAAATCTGATGGACGTGTCTGGGTTTGGAAGTTGTCAGGAGAACAGTACTTGCCTGACTGCATTGTACCACGTTTGTTGGAAGGGGGATTATGGTGCGGGGTTCTCTTTCAGGGGTTGGGCTTGGCCCCTTAGTTCCAGTAAAGAGAACTCTTAAAGTGTCAGCAAAGACATTTTGGACAATTTCATGCTCCCAACTTTGTGGGAACAGATTAGGGATGGCCCCTTCCTGTTCCAACATGACTTCGCACCAGTGCACAAAGCAAGGTCCATAAAGACATGGATGATGGAGCTTGGGGTGGAGGAACTTGACTGGCCTGCACAGAGTCCTGACCTCAACCTGACAGAACACCTTTGGGATGAAATATAGCGGAGACTGCGAGGCAGGCCTTCTCATCCAATGTCTGTACCTGACCTCACAAATGCGCTTCTCGTAGAAGAATGGTCAAAACATTCCCATAGACACTCCTAAACCTTGTGGACAGCCTTCCAAGAAGAGTTGAAGCTTTTATAGCTGCAAAGGGTGGGCCAACTCAATACTAAACCCTATGGACCAAGACTAGGATGCCATTACAGTTCATACGTGTGTATTGACAAAAACGTTTGTCAATATAGTGTATATTGGGGCTTACCAATCCTTTATGTGCTGGCTGCGTTAGTTTTTTTTAGCTTTTCGCCTTTTATTTTCGTCGAATGATCCTGCCAGTAAGTCTTTTTCAGCATCCTTTAACAGATCAAGCTGTGCAGCAAAAAGTGGCAGTTACAGGGTTGAGACAAACCACTTACCACTGACAGGGAATGCTTAATGGTCAGCTTTAATTCATAGAGTTAAAAGCTTCTATACCAAAAACACAAGAGAATTAATGCAGCCACCACATCTATGGACTGGCAAGCTGCAATATATTACATTTTTGGTTTTCAATACACTTTGAAGCTGCCTGGCTCATCCCAAACTCATTGGATAGGGGAGATGTGGATTTAATGTCCAGTAGGCAGTGAACTTGCTTTGCCCACCTGCCCCATTCTAGTTAGGGAACTTTGAGGGGTCTTATGGTAAAAAGATTGCCCGTCAGCTGATTTGAACACACACACACACGCACGCACGCGATACCTGGTACGTCTTTGCTACCATCTCTGCTCCTCGAAGATTCGTCCATTTGGACAAGCCTACAAAGATCTCTGAACCTGGAAAAGAGCAAACATAATAGCAGGTGAGTGTTTTGTAAAGCAGAGCAAAAAAAATACTGCAGACAGAATAATTTACCCATACACAAAAAGATTGATAGGAGTTTTATGCAGGCCATACATGGGTTGAATTCCAAACAAAAATTTTCTTTAAGAAAAAAAAACAAAAAGAAATTACGTGCGTTTTGTAATCAGATGGTGGCACCATTGATTTAGAAATTGAACCAACCAAGCCTTTCATTTCACCTCATGTTGCTACAGAAATAAATTTTTTAGAATTAGAAAAGAATTTGCTTCTTTCCAGGTAACAGCTCATGCTCATTTCTTTTTCGATTACATTTCTTGCACGATTCTCCCATCGATTAGAAATTTGTTAATTTTTAAAACAATTTACAAAAAAACATGCCTGATCACTCAAATTCGATGGTCGCTTGAAAATTGGCCATTTCTGTGGCCCACTAATAGTGCAAAATTCGTACGAAAGGTTTTAAAAAAGATTTTTGAAAGAATATTCTTTTGGAATTCGACCCGTGTATGGCCGGCTTTACAAAAGGACAATTATAACATGCCGAGTACAAATATGAACATTTACTATTAAGAACTTCTGGTCTGTGCATGGATTTTCCACCAAGCTTATTTTCCTAAAAAACACTTTATTTACACTATAGGACAATTACAAAATAATAAAGCTATTGGCTGCTCTTTAAAAATTCAAAATGACAAGGAAAAAAAAAAAAAAAAAAATTAGGCTGGATTTTCAACCATGCATTGTGGTAAAAGCAGCGTTCACCATTGCACCAAAAAGTGCAATTCATTTTCAGTGGCATCCCAGTACACTATGGGAACACAAAAGTGATGCAGATCTTTGCGTTGTGTGCTGCATCACTAAAATAGTGCACATCTTTGTGTCTATTCTGATGTATTGTCCATGAATGATGCCAATACGTAGTGACGCAAAAACACCACAAGGCAGCTTCCCAGCAGCTGGCAGGTCCTATAATTGTCTTCAGGGAGATTGCTTTTAATTAAAACAAACTACATTTTTTTTTCCTGAGATCTTATCTTATCTTTTTCCAATAAAGTCAACTTGTCTATACAGGAAAAATGCTCAAGGCATCAAGTTAGAGAACATGATGGAAAAGAATGTTTAATAACACTTGCATAATTTCCTATAAAAGGGAGACCTACCCAGCTATCATATATATATATACATATACACACACACACACACACACACACACACACACACACACACACACACACACATATATATATATACATATACACATATATATATATATACACACACACACACACACACACACACACACACATATATATATATACATATACATACACACACACACACACACACACACACACACACACACACACACACACACACACACACGTAGCACAACCCAGTTAGCACCAGGGATGGATTTCAGTTATGCTCCACCAGATCAATTTAAGAGACCCTGTCATTAAGAAACAGAATTCCAGTTTAAAGCACAGAATAAATAATTCACAATTAGAACGGTTGATTTTTCTTTGGTGATCCTTTCTTTTGCCAGGAAATTTGACCACTTTGGAAGGGTTGATTTACTAGCTCACCTGTGCTCCCACCTCGTTCCTGTGATATCCCAGCAGACCCTATGGCCGCATTAAACCTGGTGTGGGAGCGTGCATACAGAGAGAAAGCCACCGGCTCCTTCACTATAGGTTCTGCTTTGTTTGCAACTGTTCAGAGCATCATTTACTTCCTCAGGTCACATGACAAGTCAATAGAGAGGGAGCTTTGCAAAGGGATACTTTTTCCAGTAACAACCATCTAAAAGAAGGATTTTCCTTAGTTTGAGGAGATATCATATCACTTCCTGTTGGACTAGAAGTGAAAAGAAATGTTCCCAATAGGAGAGAGGTGGGGAAAAAAACAAACAAAAAAAACACAAAACACAAATAAAGCCTCTTCCTTTTTTCTTTTCTAAAGAATTGGAGGCTTTACATATATTTCAAGGACTCTTGGGCATTCACCCACCTGTAAAGAGGATGTCGCTGGCATCCAGTGTGGCATTTTCATCTGTGAGTTCAAAGACTCTGAACTTCAGCTCCTCAAACAACGTCTGCAGGCCTTCTGTCTGAGAAGGAGAGAGGAGAGCAAAGTGAGGCGGAATCCGAGGAGAGGAAGATGGAATAGATGGCAGATTAGGAAAGTCAATCTGCATACAAAAGCATGTCCTGGAAGGAGTAAAAACAAACAAAAGCCTTATATGCAGAAAAAAAAAAAAAAAAAAAAAAAAAAAAAAAAAACAGCACACAACAGGGGAACAAATCTCCACAAATAGAGGAAAAAAGTGAAAAAAAATATTTCCAAGCACTTAGTCCTGTGGGAGATCGAAAGCACTTCACACCTGTCTGGTGGGTTGCATTACCTTAATGCACATTTTGTTGACCACTGTATTCTGGGAGGTGTAAAGCACAGGCGTGTGTAGCAGTTCAGGATTTGCAGTGAAGGCAAGAAAGAGGTTGTAGCATGGATGACTTAGGCCTAAGTCACACCAACAATCCTGTTATCTGTAGCAAAAAGATCTCTGAAGACGCCCATAAAAATTAATTCCCCCATCAACACAGTCAGTGTTGATGGAGGAATCCCTCGTGCAGTGCTATTGTGTTCTGTCAGCGAGGAACCTTCCCCACTGGACAGAACGGCTCTGATTGCACAAAAAAAAAAAAAAAAAAAAAAAATTCCTTCGTACAAGCAGCCTGCCCAAAGATGGATAAAGTTTCGGCTGGGCCTGATGAACCGATTGAGATTTGATCCATCTATGGCCAGCTCAAGGTTGGTCACTTACAGATCTGTATTTGAGATCCTGCATGTAAGGCTCTTCCTGCTTCTGCTTTACTCACTCTGCGGATATGTACTTTCATTGCCTCTTCTTGAATACTACCTCACCAGTCAGAAAATGGCCTGTCTTCAAGGGGACCACTGATATAAAATGAAGCAAATCCCTGCTACTCTACTAAGATGGTTACCTCTACACATTGTCATTGACTTGCCATGTCTTGGTCATGTCAGAGAAAAGATCTGCAGGGAGTTTACAGGCAATACTGATGACTAGTCCTTTTTCTTCTCTGTATACAATTGATGACAGGGAGAAATAAACAAATGATTGACTTGGCTTTGAAGTCAGACTAGACCCACTGCCTTCACACATCCTCAGTGTCTTGAGCCAAGCAATGGCTTCTTCTGCTTCTCCGCTGCTACAATAATACCCATATACAAACTGGCACAAAGCCAGCAGTAACAGATTTTAAAAGTTGGTCCCCTGAAAGGTTTTTATGGTTATTATTCAGTTTTTCCATTTGTACTGCTAATACAGAATTCATATCTGTTCAGGTTCTCTAACAGCTTTACACAAAAATACAGTTTATTGTACACTGGTATTCAAAGCAAAATAAATAAATACAAAATAAAAAATGCAATAAAAAGCTGCCTTCACTCTTGTAAATCGAGGATCACTGATACAATACGTGCATAAAATAAAAAAAATTAGCTGCTAATTTACAAACCAAAATGAAGAAAACAACTGCATCCCAAGGCATCTTGTGTGTCTCAAAATATACATATGGGTCTGGGAGTCCCAGATATAAAGAGATATTACAAAGCAGTAATATTAGGGAGAATTTTTGACTGGACGTTCAATTCAGAGGGGAAAAGTTGGGTAAAAATTGAAAAGACACTTAGTGGAGCTAATTTGAATAGAATAATATGGTTACCGGCACAATATAGAGGATTGAAGGAGGATTTAAGTTTGTACACTGTAAATGTATTAAGGGAATGGGATAATAAAATACACAAATATATGAAATGGGAATTTAATTCTATACTAATGCCACTAAGAAACACAGAATTTTTTCCACCAGGTAGAGAAGAGATAGCAGGTAGATGGTTTATAAAGGAAGATGTCCAACTCAGAGATATAATGGGAGAAGGGAAATTGAAGACCTTTAAAGAGTTGGAAAAGGAAAAGGGAAATGTTTTCACCAGGCTGGATGAGTGGCGTTACTACCAATTAAAATGTTTTTGGGGAAATCTCCCAAAACCCCTGAGAATGAAAAAGGATTGGAATTTGTTTGAAAGGTTGTTGGATGCACGGGGGGGGGGGGGATGGGAAACACGGAATAGCTAAAATATATGGAATCCTCACAGATTTAGACACAAACACTAAACCAATGCACATAGTAAAATGGGAAAGAGATATGGGGGTGGTATTAGATGAAGGAAAACAGAAAAAAATAAATAGATTAGTTCACGGAAATGTAAGTTTGAGAGATGTAGAAACAAATTACAAAATGTTTGACAAGATGGCACATTGTTCCGAGTGTGGAGTGTAAGATAAGTGGGGAGAAATCACAGTGGTGTTGGCGAGAGTTCGGGGAAGTGGGGACAGTGTATCATATTTGGTGGGAATGTCCAAAGATTCAAATATTCTGGAAAAAAAATAGTACATTTAATAGAGAATATCATCGAAATGAACATCGGGTTAGATCCAGGGATGTGCCTGTTACATAGCTCAGAGCTATCAGTTAGTAAATATAAGAAATTAGGTTTAGGCTACTATTTGAAAGCAGCAAAAAGCCTGATCCCCAAGTATTGGAATAAAAAAGAAATACCGAAAGAGGAGGAGTGGATAGAAAGAGTAAATTGGACTAGTAAGATGGAGAAGACATACTATATACAGGAAGATAAACTGGAGGTATATCTCGCGAAATGGGAAAACTTTGTAATAAATTTGAGAAAGTGAAAAGTAGTACGCCATAGAGAATAGAAGAGAGGTAAGATACGCTTGCTGTTGATAAAAGATAAGGAAAATGCAGAGGGGGGGGGGGGGGGGGGGGAAGGGGTTAATGTTCTAAGAGGGCGTAAATGAAGTAATAAGAAACAATTGTATATTTATGATGATTGAGATGAAAATGTTTTTATCTTTTTTCTCTATTGTTATTACTGTGAAAAAATAATAAATATTTAAATTAAAAAAAAATATATACATATGAACATAAAACTATATAACACCAAATAATGATCTCAGTTTCATGCATAAAATTACCATAACTCCAAAAAAAAAAAAACAAACAAAGTCCCAATGATCATGTCCACTTTTTGTATCAATCCATGCATGCATATACAGATTAGTGATTCCAGGTGTCCCGTGCTACAAAGCAATACTCTTCCACATTCTATGCCACCACACAGTGAGCTTTTGGATGTGCCCTCACCATTTATTGACCTATAGTGCAAATACAAGTCTCTAAACACGTTCCCCACCAATATATGAAGGGGAGGGCACATCCATTAACTCAAACTCAATGAGTGGGGTGAGTGGGGGGGCAGGGTTTTGTTTATTGGTTTGTAATTCATCAGCAGCGCCACACTTTTCTATGCATATATCTTTATTGGTGGTGACTTGCACTAGGTGGTTTGCAGCAGCTGAAATGGATTATACATATTTTGGTCACAGGGTAACCCATGGCAGTGCATAAGTGTTTTCTAGTTGGCAATAAATATGTGGCCATTAAATTTAAAACAGACCAATAGTGACTAAACACCTCAAAAGGCATCTAAAGCCTTTAAAAAGGATAAGCTCACCTTTTGTAGCACGTTACATCCATATTCAGTGTGTAACATGTTACAATTGTACCAGACGCCCCAATTCTCCATTGTGACAGCTAGAAGGAATCTTCTGCTACCGGTCACAATTTAAAAAAAAAAAAAGGCTCTGCCCTCATCATTCACTTACAGAGTTCTGTAAACAAGAAGCTACAAGCCCCACCAGCCTTTGCATCTGTCCGTTTGTAGTTAACTAACTACCATTGCGGTAGTTCATCGATTCTTCCTGTCAGTGTAAAATGGTCTGCCCGTATAAGGTTCGAGCAAACAGAATACACCGATAGTCTGCGGGAAACCTGCATGGTACCCGATCGCTGGTCCAATGCTCCTAAAACAAAAAATAGTAAATGCACATTTTTTTTACCTGCATAAAAGTGTGCATTATTTTTTGTTAAAAGGTGAACTTATACTGTAACTAGTTGCCGACCGCAGGTAGCCGAATGACGGCTACACTGCGGCCGTCCAGTTCTGGGAGGCAATCATATGATGTTCTCCCAGAACGTGCTCTCCTGCGCGCCCCCAGCGATCTCCGTGATCTCTGTGTCCTACGGATGTGATAAAAGGCCAATCACAGCAGCCTTTTACCATGTGATGAGCCGTGTCCAATGACACGCTGATCACCAGGAAATGCAATTGCCGTTTCTCTCGGCTGCACTTTCCTCACGCTGTCAGCACGTGAGGAAAGTACTGCCGAGAAACCGGCAGTTGTCAGAGCAGGGATCGGCACCGATCATCAGTGCCCTGATGATCAATGCCCAGCAGTGCCACCCACAAGTGCCCAGCAGTGCCGCCTATCAGTGCAGCCTCATCAATGCACATCAGTGAAGGAGAAAAATTACCTGTTTGCAAAATTTTATAATAGAAACAAATTTTTTTCACATTTTTTGCTTTTTGTTTAGAGCGCAAAAAATAAAATACCCAGCGGCGAGTAACTACCACCAACAGAAAGCTCTATTTGCGAGAAAAAAAATGATAAAAATTTCATATGAGTGCATGACTGCGCAATGGTCATTCAAAGCGCTGAAAGCTGAAAATTGGCCAAGTAAGGAAGGGGGTATAAGTGCCCGGTAGGCAAGTGGTTAAACAACTCTTGCAGGATTTTATTGCCATCCGATTCATTCCCTTATTGCCAGATTTATTCCCTCCACATTTTTCTTTTCACTTTTGAGATATTTACTTTTATTTTATGCTGTTTCCACAAACAGGAAGGGAAGGAAAAAAGGTTTGGCTTAGGATATACTTACTGGTTTGTGTTTCGCATCATACAAGCTTTGCAGACAGGTTTTCTTTAAACAGCTGTCGGACCAGCGACATACCCGTATGCCTCTGAACTTTTGGTTGGTTGTACAGGAGCAATACCCCAGCATCACCCAGGTATTTTTTTGTTGTGTTTTCTTTTTTTTTTAAGCCAGTGGTCAGCTGTCTATTCACTCAGCGTAGCACCATTTTTTTTATATTTTACAAATATTTATATATATTTAAAATGTAAACAAAGTGACAGAAATGGCTTGGGGCTGAAGTCGTGGGGATTTGCACTCATTCTTTATGTTCTCAAAGATTCTCAAAAAAAGAGTTTCCATTTTTATTATGGGTTGGCTTTCAGGGCCCATTCACACTTGTGCATTTCGGCAATGCACACTAAAAACACGTGCATTGCCCCAATGTATGACAACTCACCTGCTCCAAGCACAGTACAGTCCAATGTATTGCACCACAATGTATATACTATTTTATTGTGGTGTGCTGTGCTGGTGTGCCCCCATTAGGAATATTCCCTCTCTCTATTTGTACTAGTGACCACTGTCACCAGGATTGAAGTGAGGGAAACTCTAATTTTCACCGAAACAAGGGGGAAAATCTTCCAATGGGAAATGACAACTGTGAAAGGGGATTCCCATTACTTTGTAGGGATTTTCTCACTTCCTGTTTCTTCTTGGGACAGGTAGTTATGGGTCTCCCCAGTAAGAACAGATGGGCCAAAACTGTGCATGCATGATCAAAAGCATAACTCTGAACTCACCTCTTTCCTCCTGGCGGGAATGGCTGGACGGGTGATCAAAGCCGTATCGGCTATCACTACTGCAGTGTCGCCAATCAGCTGCCCTCGTGGAAGGTCTTCACTGGCAGGCAATTCCATCACTTGAAGGCCTAGCTTTTGCCTGAGGATGCCAGAGTACACTCCACTCTCACGTTGAGCCCTTGCCAGGTCCACTTGACCATCAGCTTCTTGCGCTAGGGAGGCAGAAACCCCTCTTACCACCGCATGGGTGTATCTACCAATCATGTTTAAAGCAGAAGGGTAGAGGTAAAAAGGCAACTTATTGAGAGAACTGTCACTTGTGGCCGGCAGATGGTGTACTAGTGGGGCCTCCTGCCTCTCTTACTGTCCTGCCCAGTCAGTCAGTCTGCTTTTGTCTTCTCCTCCAGTCTCCCGTCTGGATGGATTCCTCTCTCTCTCTCTCCCCGCCGTCTCCAGCTTCCTTCCTGGCTTCACATCCTGCAAGAGAAAGAATGACAAGTATCCTCACAACATACATATTTAATGTAAACACTCAGCAATGACAAATTAGCAGTTTCATGGGAAAAGTAGATTTCACAAGTGGCTTCACATTTGTTGCGGTCGCTTTGGTCCTTCAATGCAAGAATAATTTGCTCTCAGCGATGAGATTTAAAGTGACCTTGTCACCACAGAGTCACTTGTATTAAAAACAAACACACACACACACCCTAAAGAACAGGAGTGAACATACTTACCTTTCCAGCAGCCCTTGCCTTCTAATGCCACAACTTCACGGTTCCCCAGCTGCTTCAAGTAACTACTGACTCCTAGAAAGGGTCAAATATCCATTTCCCTCTTTGCACGCTGTGATTCCTTCTGCTGTCCCATACGTCCTGTAGCAATGTGAAACCAAACAGGAGACAGCACAGTGTGCAGCAGAGAAGCAGGTGCTCCACAAACCCGAATTGTTGAATACGTGCAATGGCCAGGGAGTAACAAAACATTGGCATTCCCCCCCCCCCCCCCCCCCCCCACCACACACACACACACACACACACACACACTTTCCGAGTAGGAGGATACCACACGAGACTTGTTTTTTTACAGCCTGGCCAGATAGAGAGGCCCAAAAACCAAGGAGAACTTTCAGGTTTCTAGGGGCACAAATTAAACATCCAATTTCCAGACTACCCATCACATTTTTGGTATACCAGGACAGTAGAAACACCAACAAAATGAAAAGAAAAAAAAAAAAAAAATCCCCAAGGCACTTTCTAAGAAGCATGGCACGTCTTTTGAAAAGGTCATTTTTGCTACAAGTTTTTGGAAAATGTGGATAGAAAATACTACTCCTCCAAAGTATGAGGATACCCCATGAAAGATTGTCATAGCTTAGCCTCATAGAATAATACTTGGCGATACTGCCATCAACCTGGTTCACACTGATGCGATTTCAAACATGAATCAGATCGCACTGAAATCAAGGACAGGGGAGAACATTGCTTCCCATGGTGGCTATTCACATCAATGCAGCGCAGCTGTGATCCAACTTTGGGAAAGGGTCTTATGCTACATTGGTATGATTTGCAGTGTGATTTCGCCTCATAGAACAGGCAAACCTTATCCAAAACCCAACCAAGGTCACACTCCATAATCACACTGCAAATTGCATAAAAATTGGTTCACAGTAGTTGATCCTAGCCTAAAGGCTGTTGTTCAGACACTTCCGGTTATAGGGTGACAACTGCCTGCCAGCTGTGGTGCTGCATTATCACCCCCTGGTGATGACCCTGTAGGCCGTGTTGACATACATTATGCAGATACGGCTCACCATTGTCACTATCAGTAAACACGATGTGCAGCTGATGCTGGAGTATTCTGAAAAAGATTTCAGCTCAGCAGCACAAAGAAAAAAAAAAAAAAAAAATGAAACCTGTTATTTCAGCAGGAGATGGCACAGGGCTCTAGCAAACTAAATATCATTCAGTATCTACTTACATGCAGACTTCAGTCAAACAAGGGAGGAGCAATGTCCCATGTGGCTTTAATTTCCATCCTTACTTAAATCATCTCTCCCAACTTTTTTGGGGGGGCAAGGTGTGCCTAGATTCCATCTCTACCCCCTCTCGAAGTTTATTCACATTTCTCCATAAATAAAAGGGATGCATGTAACAAGGGGATGCAAGCCCACAAGTGCAAGCATTTGTGATCGCTTGCAAAATCTGGCTGCTATACATTACATAACTGATATATAATTAAAACAAAAAAAACAAAAAAAAAAAGGGAAGGGAAAGGGAAGGGAAGAGAAGAGGACCTGTCCTGATAAATATATTATACAGAAGCTGGCATTGCCAAATTGCAGGCTTCTGGTTCTCATATCTATCCTTGCTTCACAACTTGCAGCAAGACAGTTTTAGACTCTTCTGGCAGAATACTTAGGTTGGCAAGTGACCAAATAGACAGTAAAGCAAGAATTAAACAAAATTACTTAACTAGAATTCAGCTTTAAACACAGCTTCAGTGTCTCCTGGACAGCATTAGAGGTTTACTGATTTGAGTGCTGCCTATTCCCTAAACTGCTTTTTATCTTTAATAGGTTAAGAAAATGAAAAGTATATTCTTACTATTAGCAGGGGACAACAAATGGACCATTTTTAGAAAGATTCCAGCTTTTTGGCAAACACAGTTTTGGTAAAAATATATATACAAGATCTCCAACCATTTTCTTTTCCAGCTCCTTAGAAAGCCCCTTGTGTGGTCATATGGAAGTGTCAGCAATTGTCAAGACATGGTTTCTGCACATCTGGCCACCCCATATGATGCAGCAGATGAATGCTTGCTCCTAAAAGCCAGTCCAGTCCCCAGAGGGGTAACCAAAGTAAACAGCATTAAGTAAACGTAATGGGGAGAGTCTGGATTAGTCAGATAATGCATCACTTTATGGAGTAGGGGTGGTGTTTTGAAGATTTTGACAGGAAAACACACAATGAACGACACAGATTTCCTGCTTGAGAATAAATAATAAATATAAATAAATAATTGATTTGGTTTGCATACTTTAATTCTTTTCTTGACCCTAAGGCTGCATTCACACTTAGGCGACCACTTCTGCCCGTGATTTCAAAACGCTCTGCTAAAGTGACAATTGCAGCAAACCACAATGCGTCTTGCCCAGAAGTTTATGAACTTCATCTGGGCAACACCCCGCAATGCAGTTTGCCCCAATTGCAGCAGGACAATCGTGGAATGTCCACACAGCGTTTTCAGGCGCCATTTAAATTAATGGCACCTGAACACACGGAACCGCGATTTGTCATATTAGCTGAGCGTTTTGAAAACATGCGCAGAATAACAGCAATTCCACCCAACGATTCAAAATCCCCAAGTGTGAATGGGGCCTGATGGCATAAAGTGTTACTAAGCCCAGGACCCTGCATTCACTACATCTGGTCTCCCACAGAACATGGAAATGCAATTATTTTATTAAATACAAAATGCTAAATACCTTTTCTCATCACAGTATATAGCAGTCTTGTGACTTCTATCAGTGTCCAGCTGAGCACTGGTTAAAGCTTGGAGGAGCACTTTTCATTCTGCTCTGACTGTCCTATGAGGTTGCATAACCACTGACCCTCTATCTGGACAGCGCTGATCACATGCACCCTCACAAAGAAAAAAAAACAAAAAAACTTTTGCAATACACTTTAACCTGAGCATGTGCAGAGTGACTCCTAGGAACTCTATACTATCAGCAGATGGATTGGTGACAGTAGAGGGGAAGGATCAGAGAAGCCAGGATCAAACAGCCTTTTTACACAATGCCGATTAACCCCTTAGGTTCCACAGTGAGTATAACTGTATGCATATACAGACTGATTTTACAGTTTTGGGTTTAGAAACATTAATAACTGAAATATAAGTTGCATGACCAACAAGATACAGCTTTTCATGCCATCATTCACTGTACCTGAGATTTTACCATGGTTTACAGGTTTCCTGCATATGGGTGGGCAGGCGGCTCAACCTGAACAACTGCAGGGAAGGGTTGGAGCCTGTCTGGATTTAATTGCCATCCCAAATTTTGGTAAATTCCCCCTCTCTTTGTCAAGGAAATGAGGAGATTGTTCTGCCATGTGGACACAGACCATAAAAAACAAAAAAAAAAACAAAAAAAAATAAATACTGCAGTGAAGAACACCCCAAAATTACTGTGGCATGAACCTTCAAGAAGAAGTAAAATCTTCCCAATGGGGTCACAGAAAAAAATAACCTGAAAGAAACTAACTGCCCTGAATATTTCTTATTAGGCACACAGAAATATGATGTTTTATATATTTAGATTTTTTTTTTTGTCTGAGAAGCTTAAAGTGTTTGCAAACCCAAAAAGACTATGAATATAGAATCTAGATGTTTTGGCTGAACATTTTTTTCTGCGTCAGCCTTGCTTTTTTCCCCAGCCTGTTAATCCTGCCAGTAATACACGTCCTGTCCTAGGATGACAACGATCACTCACTGAGTGGGGCATTTTTCCTACTGCTGAGGGGACTTCCTTCCACTGGTTCTGAGTACTCTAGCCTACAGGTCCATTGCCAAGACGGATCACCACTTACCACCCAGTCCTTTGGGAGTGACAGCACCCACCAGGACCACACAGGCATATCTGAGTGAGAAGGACAGCTCATCTGGGTTCCAACTAAAGGAAGACCCCCTACCACCTAGAATCAGGATTGTTACATACAAGGCGCATTTAATATGCGCGTCCGGTGAGTGCGCATTTCATTTCCACTTCTACCCGGACAACGAAGTCACCTTTCATTATCCTGTTTTACTATCCTGATTTATTTATATTTATGGGACTACTCCTTACATTTATTGGAATTCAATTTGATTTATGATACTGTATTTCATCTATTCACTCTATTAGCTACGAGCGCTGCACTTGTTATATACATTGTCTCTTTCATAGGTTATTGGTACCTAATTCTGTGCATAGCAGCTTGTTTATTTACACTAAGGCGCTTTTTACTCTCTATACACTCACTGAGTGTTGTCACTCTAATGCACACTGGGTGGTTTATCCCTGGTGCATGGGGCTCCAGTGTTTAGCTATGGACATGGGGCACAGGTGCATTGTCTAGCCCCACTGCCGCTCTCTGAGAGTCTGACAGCTGCTGCAACTGGATATGGCTGGACGATGCACGCAGCGATACGGCCATTTAGGGTGGTATGTTCAAGGGACAAATGTCCTGAACATAGACTGCTTGCATTCTGGGCATTCATCCCTGGGCGTATACTGCCCAAAAAGTACATACTGCTAGGTGCGCCACACAACTGCAGAAAATGGCAAACCTCAAGAGTTAGACAGGCTGCCGACAGTGGGGCTGGATGGTGCACTTGTGGCTAGATACCAGTTCTCCATGCACTGGGGCTAAATGCTGAGTGTGCATGGGCCTCAAGGCTACATTCACTCTGCCACGCCAACGTTTAGCTTTTCAAAACACATGAGAAGTCATCTGGGAAGAATAAATAACTCTTTCCTCTTCGATCACTTTTTCCTGTGTTCAGATGTTCCAGCTTTAGCTGCATATAACATGTGTTTAGAGTGTTCAATCAGATCCTGGATGCATAGATTTCTATTCTCTCTAAATGCAGGTAAACGGACCACATCTAAAAGCACTTAGCGAATTGCACCATTGAAAAATCGTTGCATGCATTTACAAATGTCCTCTAAATGCAGGTTCAACAGTGCAAGTGTGAATGAGACTCAAGACAGGCAATGTATATAAACAACAGAGCCCCTCCCCTCTCTTCTAACATAGTGGGGAGGTGTTCTATAGTTCACAATAAAAAAATTCAGGTAGGGCTGATAAGAGGAGGAGATTTTTAAAGCAACATTCTTAGAACACTAGTTACAAGCGCACTGAATTTCTGGAAAGATCAACTTTTTTTCCTAGTACTTATCAAGCAGAAATAAAACACTTAGAAGGATAAATTTAGCAGACCAAATGGAAGCAATACGGGGGAGAAGTTCCAATATTGGGGTCTACATGTACTTTAATGTATTAACTTTAACAAGCTGAATAATGGTAACAAATATTTGACACTTACATGCATTTGCATATGTTGAAAATGCCATTTATGACCATTTTGTGAGTGTTACCATAGACAGATATTAAACCAATGCACGTCGATTTTTTTGTTCAACCCTTTTAATCGCAATCGCATGTGAAAGAAAATATGGGCAAGCCATTGTTTGGACTTGTTACCAGAAGACCCAGTCAGACATGCTGAGAGTCTTGTAGTGCTTTCCATTTGCACCGGTATTTGCAGCCAGAGCATGCTGGGACTTGTAGTTCCTGAAAAGCTGAAGGAGCAGGATTGTAAAATAGGACTTTCCTAGTGCAGAAGGAGTTAACCTATTATCCTAACCCCGGGCTTAAAAAGCTGCATTACATTATACTGCTTTGTATGACTGCCATGGGAAGCTAGCCATGGTATCAGAAGTCTGGGCAGAAAAGCTGACAATCTGCTGGCAGGGCTCCATAGGTTCCCAGGGTGATCAGGCCTGGATTACAGACCTTGGCCAGGAAGGAGAGAGGGAAGAGATTAGGGATGGGAGACACTGGGGTCCTGCAGTGACACGGGGCGGAGAGACAGACAAGAGGGGACACAATGATGCTAGTGTGCAGGCAGTCTGGAGGAGCACACATGCTGACACTCAGGAGGAATGTGACAGCAAGCTGCAGAAGAGCAGACAGGGCGAGACTGAGGAGCAGGGCCCAGACCCAGGGAAACACAATACACTCACCACACAGGGAGGAGAGGCTCCAGGCACGTGATGAGTCCTTGTCCCTTGTCCCCAAACCGCAGAACACTGGGGGTCATCCAGTCCAGACCGTCCCTGCTGCCTCCCCCCCTATCCCTCCCCTCTCTCCACATCTCCCCCCATTATCATTCCCTCCCCTCCCCATCCCTCCCTCCTTCCTTCCAGCTCCATGCTCTCCTCCTACAGGATATGCAAAATTCACACAGCAGGGTCCTCAGCCAATCCTAGGACATGGGATGGAGGATATGGGATGCTCGCCTCCTAATACACAGGATGGAGGGTCCTCAGCCACTCCTAGGACATGGGATGCTCGCCTCCTAATACAAAGGACGAAGGGTCCCTACACCTCCCAATACTCAGGATGAAGGTCCTCAGCCAATCCTAGGACATGGGATGGAAGAAATGGGATGCTCGCCTCCTAATACACAGGGTGGAGGGTCCTCAGCCACTCCTAGGACATGGGATGCTCGCCTGTGAATACAAAGGACAGAGGGTCCCTACACCTCCCAATACTCAGGATGAAGGTCCTCAGCCAATCCTAGGACATGGGATGCTTGCTTCCTTATACAAGCATGAATGGTCCCCACATCTCCTCACACACAAGATGAAAAGCCCTCAATCATTCCTAGGACTTGGGATGGAGGACATGGGATGCACACCTTCTCATACACAGGATGGAAGGTCCCCAGCCAATGATAGGACATGGGATACAAGACATGGGATGCATGCTAAGAAACAGGTCAAAGGGGTCCCCATACTTCTAAACAGGATGGAGATAATCCTAGGACATGGGATGCTCAGATCTTCATACACAGGATAAACGTGTCCCTACACCTCCCAATACACAGGATGGAGGGTCCACAGACAATCCTAGCACATGGGATGCTCGCCTCCTCATACACCGAATGGAGAATCGCCACACCTCCTCATACACAGGATGGAACGTCCTCAGCCAATCCTATGACTTAGGATACAAAGCATGGGATGCTCGCGTCTGAATACACAGGTCAGAAGGTCTCCATATCCCCTAATACACAGCAAGGAGGGTCCACAGACAATCCTAGGACAGAAGATGCTTGTCTCCTCATACACAGGATGAAGGGTCCCACTCCCCACACCTCTTCATACACAGGATGAGTGCCAAACCAAAAACATAGGATGCTCACCTTGTAATAAAGAACAAAGAGTCCCTGCATCTATTCATACACAGGATATAGGGTCTCCATACCTCCTAATACACAGGATGGAGATCCTAAAACATGGGATGCTTGCATCCTAATATACAGGTCAGTGTCCCTCTATCCCCTAAAGCACAGGATGGAGGGTCCACAAAATCCTAGGACATGGGAATCAGGATAGGAGAATCTCACCTCCTAATACACAGGATGGAGGGTCTACAACCAATCCTAGGACATGGAACGTCCACCTCTGTTATACAGGACAGTGTCCCCACACCTTCAAATATATAAGGTGGATGAAGGGTCCCCAGCCAACTCTAGGACATGGGATACTTTCATCCTAATACAGAGGGTCCCTACACCTCCTAATACACAGGTTGAAGGGTCTGAAGCCAATCCTATGGCATAGACATGCAGGACATGGGATGCTCTCCTCCATATACACAGGACAGAGGGTCCCCACACCTCCTAATGCAAAGAATAGAGGGTCTGCAGCCAATCTTAAGACATAGGACGCAAGACTTTAGATGGTTGCCTCCTTATACACAAGACAGAGGGCCCAAATCCCCCCAATACACATGATGGGTCCCGTGTACATCTCATAATACACGGGACAGGGGAATGAAGTCCCTATTCTAATTAAAGAGGACAAGGGGACCACATCTCCCCCCCACTATAAAGGACAGGGGGACCAGGTCTCCTAATAAAAAGGAAAGCGAGATCATGTTCTCTCCTAATCCACAGGACAGAAAGTCCTGATCATCTTCTAATACACAGAGTTACCACTCACCTTCTACACAGTAAAAAAAAAGGACCACCTGCCTCCTAATACGCAGATTGGAGGGACGTGGTTTCAGCTCCAACCTATAAAAAAACATGAAGTTCCAACCGTTCCTTCTACAGATGTACAAATCTCACCTATGTTTTCAAGCTGTGGGTCTGTCCTGCCAAAATGGGAGCAGTAGTAGCAGCCAATCACCCTGTTTATATGTGATCACGTTGTATGAGGAATCTTCAGAACAAGCCCGAAAATTCCTGGCATGGTATCGCTATTTAATGACACGGGAGTCCCTGCCAACCCAGTCAGGTGCTGCACTCATTAACATCTGCATGCCCAGCAGTATTTTTGTGCCTTTCTAACCTTCGTGCCATAGGAAATCAGGCAGATAATGTCATTGTTAATACAGCTTCAAATGCAATTTCTTTCATCCAAAAAATATCTAAAATTTGACTTGGCATTGGCCTCTTGCAGTCCTTGTACAGTAGAGCTCAGACTAAAAGAGGGGGAAGCAGCACAAGAAGCCTTTCAGCCATGCTGCAGTGCTCTTGCCAATATGGAACTTGCCGGGAGAAGGAGACAGCAGCGTCAGGAAGATGAACTCCTCAGTTTGCTGCTTCTCCTTTCACTGTCCAGTCACAGGCTGGGGAAGGAACAAGACCCACAAATGTTACTGAACTGTAACAGGGAGGAAAAGAAAAAAAAATACTTCTCAGGAATGCATGGGCAAATGCAAGGCAGGAATGCATGGCAAAGAAATTCCCATATATGCATTTCATGTGCAATTTTAGCTGCTTACCTAGAGTTCAGGTTGAAAAGGAATGCATTACCCATTCAAGTCAAGGAGCAGCTAGTAGGGCTGCCATTTCTTACCTTCCCTTATCCATTTTGCAGCCAGCAGCTAAAAGCCGGCAAACATCTCAAACTTTGGCCAATTACTGCTGAGCCAGCTGAAATCCAAGCTATGAATGGCCCTTCAAGCAACACCCAGTGGTTGTCCAGATAGGGGTGATCAGGGGCGGACTGATCATTTGGAAACTCGGGCACTGCCCCCGAGGGCCCGGGGTCAGTAGGGGGCCCCATGAGATGTCCCTGGTACCTTTTTCATAGGCTTTTTTTGAGTTTGGGCAAGGACACAGGGGCCCCATGATCCCCTATTGCCTGGGGGCCCCATGAGTTGTCAGTCTGCCCCTGGGGGTGATGACATCACTACATTCCAGAATGAACTTCATTTTTTGCTGGAGTGACATCACTGAATAGCACCAATAACCTCTTTTCTAATAACCGCTCTATTCCCTAGACAGAAGAGCTTGTACCTTTTGCATTCTACAGGTAAAGCGAATAGATTATTTTAGCAAGCTCATTAACGCCACTATTACCACTCGCAATTTTATCAAAGTACCAGCTGTGTGCAAGTGTCCCATTAGGACCAAGTCACTATGGTGTAATCCACACCAGCAAGATGCAGTAGTGGTCAGTCGCATACAACTTTATCTCCTAGATTGTAAGCTCCAAGGAGCAGGGCCCTCAAATCCCTCTTGTATTGAACTGTATTGTTGCTGTATTGTCTCCCGTTATATTGTAAAGCGCTGAGCAAACTGTTGGCGCTATATAAATCCTGTATAATAATAATATAATAATTTTCTCCATCAGCTCATCCCCCACAGTTATTACCTTTTGTATCACTTGATCCCCCCTTTTAGATTGTAAGCTCTAATGAGCAGGGCCCTCCGATTCCTCCTGTATTGAATTGTATTGTAACTGTACTTTCTGCCCCCACGCTATAAAGCGCTGTGTAAACTGTTGGCGCTGTATAAATCCTTTATAATAAAAATAATAGTGTACAATCACAAATATTAATCATTACATTCTCTTCTTACATTCATATTACACCACTGCTCTTAGCAATTAAAGTAAATGTCACCTCTATCTGATTGACATTTAGTTTGCGGAGGTGTTGTGGATTAAAACAATTGCCATTTCTTTTCATAAAATAATGCTGTCACCTCTCTCACCATCTTTTGTTACAGCTCAGTGCTGCCGGTCTCCAGCAGCCTCTTTGCAGCCATTGGACGGATATACTGATGACAATAGCGAACTGTGCCTTTCCTTTGGAAGTGTGTCACACAGTAGCATTATTCTTCCAGGGAAGCAGGCGTTAACACAACTAAGGGGCTGTCACAGGATCTCATCAAGAGAACACCCCCCACCCAAGTACAGTATATGCACCCTTTTCACTTAGCTGTTCCATTCATAAAAGCTGTACTATTTCTATGAATGAACAAAATCTAAAGCCAGCCATAGATCTAAAGCCAGCCACAGGTTGCAGGAAAGAAAATCCCTTGATTCCCCCAATCAACACAGTCAGTGTTGATGGTGGAATACCTCCTGTGGAGCCATTGTGTTTTCCTAGGGGGGGGGGGAAGCTGTCACAACACAGTGATTACTGCTAGGGATACAATAGGTGCTAGTGATAATTGCATATAAACTCTGACAGGCTAGTTGTACCCAAGTTGATTGATTGATCAGCTGAGATTTGAGGAAGTCTATGATGGGCTTGAGAATGGAGGATGGGCAGATAATTGAAAAAGGTCCACCTCCTCCACGCATAGATCCTGTTTTATTCATAGAAGCTGTAGTATGGCTTCTATGAAGAAAGTCGCTAGGTGGAAAGATGGGCATAGTCAGGATCTCTTGAGGACAGCCTGTGTTGGCCCTTCGTTCTATTAACCCCCGCAGATGAAGACAACCATGGCAGCACTAGGAAAGGAGGGGGTGTGGAGTAGAAAGATTTCATCTAAGGAGGCCACTACAGCACAAAAGACACATTCTACTGAAAGTAATGAATCCCTTGTGCTGATCTTTTATTTTTTTTAGCTACGCTTAGGCTTTAGAGAGAGATTGAAAATTATTTTTTTAAAAAAGGTCCTTATTCAGTCACTTCTTGTCATAGGGTGGTATATGGTTTCCTCTTCAGTGAGCATTTGACAGGTTTTACGGAAGCGTTGTTCAGCCTCCTCACCACCTGCTTTAACCCCTTGGAACCCAAACTAGTGCAATACAACTGCATACATTGCATGCAGACACGTGGTGCTTCCAGAGAGGCTCCATTCTCTTGATTGGTGAGCGATAGTGCTTGCTGAAAGCAACAGAGGGTATAACGCCTGTTGTGAAGCAAAGCATCGCCCCTGCAGTATGCATTTACCTCCAACCGCTGCCTCTGCAGCTAAAGAGGTGGAAACACTGCAGCTCAACCGTGGGGTTTTACTGCCCTCCGACCTCATGTGTAAAATGAGTTCTAAACAATTTATTAGAAAATAGAAGCTTGTTGAAGATACACAGCACTTTAACAAAATGGTATTCAGTTTTTGCATCTGCTTTACACTTAGTTCTTTAATTGACAGTCTCCTACACAGCTCAAGTTCAAGCTGTTCTTGTTTTCATCCAGCTTTCTTTCCTCTCCGAAAACTGCCGCTGCTAGGGTGAGGTCAGCCAGAGGATTCTAGGCTCAGATCTGAACTGAAAAATTGGTTTACATTCACATACAATGACGTGCATTTAGAGGATATTTTTCAAGAATATAAGAGCATGGAATTACTTTAAAACAGCATAACTCACACTATGGAATTTTATACTGTACTGTTCAGTTTGTGTTTAGAAAAAAAAAATTAAAAAATATATATGTCTAGGGAAGATTAGATACTCTGAACACATCTAATTGCATGTAAAATGTATAGACTGGAGAGAAAAATCTTGATGGAACATCTAAACTCGCATAGATTCCTATGTAATGGATATACTTCCAAAATCGGTTTCTCCTGCATTTAAAATAAATTCAGAAAGCCCTTGTAAAGGAGCCCTTAGGGCCCATTCAAAATTATTATTCAGGATTTATCTAGTGATAACAGTTTGCACAGCGCTTTAAAAAATAAATTGTATTTGCAATAATACATACAGACATGCATTGCAGCACTAGTCCATCAGGTGGTGTGTTGGGGCTCCATTCATTATATAGCCTGCCAGCATATCGTCTGCACACCTGAAACCAGACCTGAATGGGTAGGGTAGTGTGTTACTGTGCATTACGACGCAGGTCCATTGTCTTCATGCCATGCAATAGGGTGCCATCTCAATCAACTATAGTGTGCGTGATGCTGCAGTACTGTGCATTGTGGTAATGGGAGCATTGCTGAAACATCATAATGAATAGCACCATATCACACTTAGGCTACATTCACACTGAGCGGTTTTCAGCCTTTTTAAATTTAGAAGATTTTGCTGTGACCAATAGAAATAGCTGCTCTTTGAGCTGAAACCGCCTGGGGGAAAAAAACCCCCCCACTGCACTCATTCCCACTGTTCAGGCGTTTTCCATTCAAGTCTATGGGGACGAAACTCTCAGATCTGCCTGAAAAGTAGCGCAAGTACTTTTTATTGAGCGACAGGTGGTTTTCCTGTTAGTTTTATTTGTTGAGCATTTTTTTTCAGCTTGAAGCTTAACGCTCAAATATAAACGGGGCCTGAATGTGTGTTGACACAAATGACCACAAACAGGCCCCAACATTCACTCTCCCCATGCAGTTTAGTATATTTGACAATAGGTTGCATTTGCAAACAAGCATTTGTTTACAAACATTTAGGATTCCTTATTAAGTCCTCAGATAAATAAGTTAGTACTACCTATAATTTATCACATTTTGTCATAGGATCAGATGGCACTCCTTTTAACCAGAGCTAACCACAGGGTGTTTTAACAGATCATATGACTTGCTAACCAAGATTATTTCAGATTTGTTGTATTCAGGTATGAACAGCTAAAATCCATGCAGGGAGACACAGCAATGCACAAAAAAAAAAAACTCACCTTACAAAACAAACACCAGTTACCTGACTTCTAAACAGATCTGCAAAGGAAAAGATAAGATTGCTGATGTATCCTATAACCCCATTCTTGGGCTGTCCTTAGGGAGGGGCCCCAAACTTTAACCTATTCATGGCCAACTTTCTGCCAGTCATATATCATACCTCTCAACATTCTGAGATGGTATTGTGATAGATCAAAGTATGCAGGTGGAAATACTGGTATCTAGGTAGAAATACTCCTACTATGCTCCCTCTTATTATGGAGCACAAAAAATGCACAAAGAAATCAGTGCTTAAATCCACTAGTGCTTTTTTTTACCACAACAAAATAATAACAGAGGCTATAAATTAGAGGTTGGAGGAAAGGCTTAAAAGAGAAGTGTGGCCTTAAACAAAATAAAAATTATACTTAACTAGGTGAACGCATTATAGATCTGATCCTGCATCTGTCTCCTGCTGGCTCTGCAGTGAGAACTGAGCAAACACACACCACTGATCGATCAGTTGTCCCCTTCACTCTGAGCAGAGAGCTGTGACTATCAATCTCTAGCTCTCTGCTCTGCTCCTCCATAGCTCACTGGATTGCTGGGCTGTGAAGGTGAGATCCGATTGGTGGATCGCTGAAAGGCAGAGCAAGGTGCCAGTCCAGGCAGAAGCAGGGAGAAAAAAAAACAGACACATCACTGATGTCTGTAAAGAGTGTTGTTTGTGAAGCTCTGTTCTGTCATTCGCTCAGCCAATGACAGCACAGATGGGGCGGCAGGTGCACATTCCCCCTTCCCGGAAATGCAAGATCATGTACATGTACGTGATCTGACGCAGAAGAGACCAACACACACTTTAAAAAACTACCAGCCTCCAACCTTCCCCTACAGCCGATCCAACGCACGCTTGTAAAAAAAGACTACCGGCTTCAAACCTCCCCTCATAGCTGGTCCAACACACACCTGGCAAAAAGACTACTGGCCTCCAACCTCCCCTCATAGCCGGTCTAACGCACACCTGAAGAAAAGATTACTGTCCTCCAACCTCCTCTCATAGCTGGTCCAACACACGCCTGAAAAAAAAAGACTACCAGCCTCCAACCTCCCTTCATAGCCAGTCAACACACGCCTGCAGAAAAGACTACTAGCCTCCAAGCTCCCTTATAGCTGATCCAACGCACACCTGTAAAAAAGACTACTGGCCTCCAACCTCTGCTCATAGCTGGTCCAATGCACACATGGAAAAAAGACTACCAGCCTCCAACCTCTCCTCATAACTGGTCCAACACATGCCTGAAGAAAAGCCTGCTGGCCTCCAGCCTCCCCTTATAGCTGGTCCAACAC